AGGTTTCTATTGAAAATCCTTTAGAGAAATGTTTTTTTTTTTCGGCCCTCAGGTTTCTTTGATTGAGCGCGATTGAGCGCGGGTCTTTTCGCACTGTGGCTTTCGCCTTCGCGCCGCGCAAGAGCTTCACGGATTGAGGGTGGGTCCTTTTCAAAATGTGGTTCGCGCATTAGCGCCGCGTATATTCGGTCTTGTTATCAGAAATTGCAAGAGTTTCACGGATTTCCATGATCAACGTACCAGACATGGTGTTTTTAAGGGATTCAGGATTATGCGAGCGCAACAAATTAATTCCCTGTGCTGGAATCCCAATAACGGCGTTTTGGCACGATCCCAGATCGTGAAGAAGCAGCAGTCAGGTTGATACGTGGCGTGGAAATGCCGAGAGCAATGCTTTGGCATTCTTCAGGATCTTCAGACGGTTGTCTTCCAACGAGGCAGTTCCTTCAAATCAATGAAAATGAACAGTTGTAGAGGCCTACGGAGAGGGCGCTTGGAGGAAGGGTTCATTCCAACATCGTTGATGACTCTTGGGCATCTGGGGGCCCTCGGCGGGCCCGGCACCGTCACAAAATGCCCAGGATGCCTGGGCCATTTCGACGTCCTCCACAACTTGGCTGCTGCAGTATTTGGGTGGGGTCCCCAGAAGCATTCCCAAATGGGCTCCAAGAAGCCACAATCATTTTCCTTAGGTTGCTGGTTCATTTTAGCGTTTCTGCCTGTTCGGCTCCCCGACGCTCCAAGACGGTACACGACACCCAAAAATCGTCGAAGCAGGCTTCAACCAGGCCGCCGAGGCGGCCCAGTGCCGCCTCCTGACGGCTCCAGAAAGCTTTAACACTGCTGAAAAGGGCCGCAAGAGGCCTCCAAGAGGCCCCGAAACGCGGACAGATCGCTCGAACACGCCCAAGATGGCATCCAGATGGCCCACCAAGCTTCCAGCACGGCCCACGGGGTCCCCGAGAGCATTCCCAAAAGGGCCCCCCAAAAACCAAAATCATGGATTTTCCTTCGGCGTGGGGCATATTTCAGTGTTCCTGCCTGTGCAGTTTCCCGACGCTCCAAGCCGGTCCCCAACACCCAAATATCGCCCAAGCAGGCCCCCACGGGGGCGCCGAGACGGCCGAGGCACGCCCCCACACGGCCCAAGACAGCCCCAACACAGTTGAAAAGGGCCGCGAGAGGCCTCCAAGAGAGTTACGGTCACCGAGCTATCGTTCTAACGCGCCCATGACGGCCTGTGGATGGCCCGAAAGGCTTCCAACACGACCCAAGGGGTCCTCAAGAGCACACCCAAAAGGGCCCCAAGAAGCCAAAAACGTTGATTTTCTGATGGTTTTCAGTGCGTTAGCGGTTCTGCCTGTTCGGCTTCCCGACGCTCCAAGACGGTCCAGGACACCCAAAAATCGCCCACACAGGCTTCCACCAGGGCGCCGAGACGGCCCAGGGCCGCTCCCAGACCGCCCAAGCAAGCCCCAACATTTTTGAAAACGGCCGCGGACAGATCGTTCAAACACGCCCAAGACGGCCTCCAGATGGCCCACAAGGCTTCCAACATGGCCCACGGGGTCCCCAAGAGCACTCCCAAAAGGGCCCCAAGGAACCAACATCATTGCTTTTCCTTTGGTTTCTGGTACATTTCAGTGTGTTCCTGCCTGTGCAGCTTCCCGACTCTCCAAGCCGGTCCTGGACACCCACATATCTATTACCCCACCAGGCCCCCACGAGGGCGCCGAGACGGCTCAGGCACGCCCCCAGACGGCCCAAGACAGCCTCAACACGGCTGAAAAGGGCCGCGAGTCTTCCAAGAAGGTTACAGTCACCGAGACTGCCTGCGAGGCCTCTCCAAGGCAGCTCAAGAGCGCCCCCAACCTTGCGAGCTCTCCGCCCCTGGAGGCCTCAAGAGGCCCCCAGCAGCTCCCAAGACAACCCCAGGAGGCCCCAACAAGTCCTGTGGAGCCTCCCAGGACGCCCCCCAAAGGCACCCACCAACTCCCCACCAGTCGCCGTGAGACAGTCCTGACGATCCTCGACGCGGTCCCAAGAAACACGCGGCCCACGGGGTCACAAAAGGGCCCCAAGAAGCCAACGTCATTGTTTTTCGTTGGGTTTTTGGTGCATTTCAGCGTTTCTGCTTGTGCAGCGTCCCGACGCTCCGACACAGTCCTAGACGCCCAAGTATCGCCCCAACAGGACCCCACGAGGGCCCCGTGACTGCCCAGGCACGCACCCAGACGGGAACCAGGGGGAGCCTGTTCCTGGTTTTGGGGGGGTCCGTCCACAAACCAGGGGGGTCTGTGGAGGGACGGCAGGGGGGAGTCCGTATACGGAACGGCCCAGGATCCGCCAAGAACGCTCCACGGGTAATTCCCAGAGGCCTACGAGAGGTGAGAATCAATGTTTTCAGAGCGTCCGAGATGGCCCGGGAGGCAGGCCAGATTATCCCAAGACGACCCGAAAAAAGGGGCGCCAACAACGTTCCAATTACCAATTACAGCCAAAGGAGGCCCAAGAGGGCCCCAAGATGCCCCAATATTGTTCCGTAGTCTTTTGGCTCAAACCATTTTGAGTCAAACAAGTTGTGCTCAGGGCTACAGTTTGGCTTAAGCTTACTTGCTCGAGGCAGGCTTCATTGTCTATCCCGCTTTACATCTCCGCTCTTCGCCCTTCGCGCAACCATGGCCTTCATGGCGAGAGCTCTTTCGCTCGCGGGCCTGTTGACTACCGTGACAGCTGTGGAATACAAAGAGGTTGCGACACCAGCATCCGGAGAAACTAGTTCTACGTGCGCGCAACTCGCTACAGCCGGCGAGTGGCAAAATCCGACGGAGGCCGAGTGCAGGCAGTATGTCGCGGGGGTTGAGGGGGCCACGTTTGATGAGACAGGCGACGGTGGAAGCGCTAATCTCCCATGCGGGTGCACCGCCGGCAACGTCCCCATGAACACATACTTTTATAAGCCATGTGGAGCGGGAGTATCAACGACAAGCCCGGAGTACCATCACATCTGCATCAAGACCGTCAGTTGCAAGACCATGACCTGCCTTGAAAGGTTCGTGTATTGGTGCCAGCAGAGCAATGTCGGCTTCGGCTCCAACAATAATGAGGCGCCCGCGAACTCTCCGAAGGACGTGCTCGTTGAGGAGTGCCCCGACTGCAATGGCGCCGCCAACACGGACACTTGCCCAACACGGACACTTGCCCAACCCTTGACACTTGCCGCTCCGGAGGCGGAGTCGACCTCGGAGCTCGACAAGACGTCCGTTGCGGTGTCAGTGCCGCTCGGATTGGTGTCCGCTCTCGTCGCTATGGGTGCGGTCGTTGGTATCTCCCGCAGCCGCGCGTCCGACCAGCCAGTGCTCGTGGAGGACGAGCACGATTTGCTGCGCGAATGAACGAGTACGCCTGTGGCAGCAGCTGAGGACCAGAGGACAGAGCTCACCGAGTCCTGTATGCTTTTCTGAGATGCCTCCCCGCCTGCCGTTCGCAATCGCTTTGCGCCAGCTCAGCGATCAAAGTTGCGTACCTCTCTCTCTCACGCTCTCTCATGCGAAAAACCCTACATCCTGCTTACCTCCTCCCGACGTCCCCGCAGCCCTGGTTCTGTATATGGTAGCTGCTCTGCGTGGACTCCAGGTTCGGAGGGAAGCGGTGCTCTGGAGCCGCTCGGATCGCAGTGAGGAGACCAATCTTCTGCAGGCTCACGGGAACTCGGGGCTCCCCCTCACTTCAACTTGAGTTTGAAGTCTCACGGTCGCAAGTCGCGATAAACTTCGCTCCATTTTTTATGACAGCTAATTTCAATATTCCCCCTCTTCCTCCTCCTCGTCCTCTTCTCCTGCTTCTCCTCCTTTCTCATTCGCTTTGACTCGCGGCTTTCTGCGGAAGGCGGTATGCTCTCGATTTATGCCCGACCTCGTTAGCTCTCGAATTTCATTTTCTCGGGTCGGGGTCTGACGCTTAGGAGCCTCGTAAGTACACAAGCAGAGAAAGAGCAATGACCCAATATGGTCCCCAGAGAGCCTCATGATGGCCCAAGATTGCCCAGGATGGGCTCAAGACGGCCACGAGACGACGCCAAGAGACGCCCAAGACGGCCCAGAGGGGTCCAATATGACCCAAGACTGGGGCGCCAAGACGGCCCAAGGGACGGCTTCAAGAGCGCCTCGGAGGAGCCTGAGACGGCCCTAGAGGCCAGAGTCACCTTGCGCTTGTTTGAAAGGCTCCTCGGAGGTGACTATAGAACTTAGCGCGCACCCACTCCCTCCTTGGACATGCTCCCCTCGTGTGTCCCGGGTGTCCAGTGGAGATTCCGGTAGTGCATAGTCGTCTTACGTGGCTGATCGTGCCGAAGCATGTTGCCAGCCACACAGGCGGTCGTTTGTTCCCTGCAGGCATTGCTTGAAAAACAATTTCGGGGGATATGGAATAGTTTGGCACTCTCGTGTTGTTTGTAAATCATTATGCGCCGTAGGGGGTGTCGGTCGGTCAATGGAAAAAGAAGAAGAAGAAGAAGAAGAAGAAGAAGACTGCGGTGCAGAATCCAGTCCTAGCCCTTTTCCAGACATGGAGGAATAGGGGGAGGGGAAAGGGGGGAGGGGAGGATGAACGGAGGTCAGGAGAGGGGGGATTAGGAGCAAGGGGGAGGGGAGGGGGATTTGAGAGACAACCGTGCGGAGGAGCGTCAGGGGGGGAACTGGGGGGGGGGGGACCTCAGCGCGAGTGGTGCTATATAGTGAGCCCCGCGACCATGGCCCAAGAGGCCCCCAAGGCGGCCGAAGAGTGTCCGAAGAGGATTCCGAGAGGCTTTCCAGGAAGCCTCCGAGAGCCCTAAACTGTTGACTAGTAATTGAGTTTCGTGAAATTTTGCATTCTCGCCCAGGTTCTCTCAATCGCATCCAAGACGGCTGACGTGGCTCCCTATTGCTGTTAAGGCGAACAAGGAAGCTCCCCAGACGGCCCCAATATTGTTCAGAGTCACCCCCAGCGCAAGAGGCACC